ACCTCTTCTAACCAGTTCGATAGATTTGACGAACCGGTTCTACCGAATAGGTGCGAACTGGTAGGAACCCACCTCTGCTCTATTGCTCTATTGAATAGATGGGCTCTATTGCTGAGATTATTTTCTACAATACATCTCTCTACAAAGCCTCTCCCATAGAGACCATATTTTTCTCCTCTGAAAAGGATCCATGGTAGGAGTTCCCTCCTGGCATTTTTCCTTGAGGTTTGTTATGTGTTGCCCAGGGTCTTATAATTTGAGTTGGGTGGCCTTATACATCTCATATATGAAGTATAAAAAGCAAGGGAAGCTGCAGACCTCTGAGGAGGTGATTATATAATAAAGGATATAGCCTTTGGTGGTCTCAGAAATGCAAGAGCTCCATTTTCCAGCTGTGGGAATGTGTCTGAAATTCTCTTTTCCATTGAACAAAAGCCAATTCTCAACTGAATGCCAACTAGTAGAAAAAAGTGTAGGAGAATATATCTGATTTTCTTTTCTTTTTCATTCTAGAAACATTTGCTATAAAGATGGGAATAGTTGTCAAAATTATATCAAATTTTCAAAATTTGCTGATGTTACACAAAGGGCAGCGTCTTACAAGTTGTTGTTGTTTTTAGAAGCTTATTAATAGAAGGCAGCACCAAAGGAATTGCATCAAACTATGATTGTTTGGTTATTTGATTACTGGTTTCATATCTGAAGTAGTTTTCATTACATGCATTAGTGGGATGGGTATCTTTCAAGTAATATACAGAACGGAGATTTTATACTTTAAGAAGCCCACACTTCTTACTTATATTTTTGATTGATACTCCTGGGGAGCAAGGTAAGTGAAAGAAGCTGTTCTGTAGAAGAAATGGATCAATTAAAACTGGAGTAAATGCATTTTGGATCTTTTCAGAAAAAGTGAATACAGTAGATTATATAAATTACATTCCAGAAGTTCAATATCCACCATCTACCAATTGGATTGGCAAAATTCTCCAAGACTCCAGAGAACATTTTACTGTATTATCAGTCTGTCAAACGTATTGGATTAGATGACCCAATTTTTTGACTTTTGTAATTGTCTTCCCATTTTCTTAAGATTCATGCTCAAGGAACTGTTCTGACTTAGAGCTGGGCTGATTTAAATGCTTTCAAAAAGATAGTGACTTGACTCATTCTTTGTTGGTATAAAATCAGGAAGGCTCTATAAAGCTTTTTAAAAATATTTTAAATCACTGTTAAACTTTTAACACCTGTACAATATAAAAATCAAATAATTTGCTTCTGCCAAAGTCTTTTGTTCATATTGTGCTAGATTTAAGCTTAAAACACTTAGATTTATTGAAGTCAAAGGGATTTTGGTCATAAGTAATGCAAAGTACTAGCCCCACTGTTTACAATAAGTCTACTCTAAATCATAGTTTAAAACCATAGTTTTCTTCAAAGGAATATTATTATTTTTTCAGAAAAGATGACCCCCCCCCTTCATTTGCTTTTGAGAAATTGTTACCATCCAATTCTCATAAATCACTTTTTTTCTTTCACTTGAAAGAAATAGGAGTATATTAGTCATCTATTTCTCAAATTAGATGTTTGATGTTCTGTTGTTGCAGCTATCTCCATTTTAATTTTAAACTGTGGTTTTCTTTCCAATTATCCACAGAAGAAACAAGGGTTAATGGAATTCCTGGTTAAAGGAGGATATGGACATGTTTCTCTCTAGCCTTGCTAAATAATCTAACCACATCAGTCTTGCTGATGAGCTCCAGGAAATAAGATGATCATTGACTAACAGGATACTGGCTAAATTGTACCAACTTTCATACAACCACATATTCAGACAGAAAGCATTATTACTCTCTTGGCATGCTTCAAAATATTATATTGATTTGTGTTTTTACACATGGTAGTACAACTGTATTGGATTAGATGACCCAAATTTTTGACTTGAGTGTCAAAAATGCAGTGAGAATGCAGTATTTAAGGCAAACTCTGCCCACAGCCTGGAGTTCGATCCTCACTAGTTTATGATTGACTTCCATCCTTCTGATGTCAGTAAAATGAGGACCCAGATTGTTGGGGACAATATGCTGACTTTCTAAAATGCCCAGAGAGTGCTATAAAGTACTATGGAACGATATATAAGTTTAAGTGCTTTTGCTATTTGTACAGTCAAAGCTCACCAATGCCCACTTTGTTATCATTCATGCCACCTTTATATTTACTGCTTGGGCTATTAAACTTTCTTAAGATCCCATGTCTTTCAATTTACACTTTGTTTCCATTCAGTTCATGCATTAGAAAAGCTTGGAGCTCCTTGATTTTCTATATCTTTCATGGAATAAAGGAAAGGAAAGTGAATTGGGTTGCTCAGCTTCTAGGGTAGAGATAAACTTCATGAATACCACTCCAATAAAATGTTTAATTGTTAATGATCATTTCTGATGTTTCCATGTTCTCTCTCCAGCAGTTACCTCATGAGATAGAGGGGCAAAGGGGTCAAAAAGATGCATATTAGGGAAATTAGCTTGAAGAAAAATATTGATGCCTGCACAATGCATACAAATGTGCAAATTAAGAAGAGAGTATATTTGCAATATAATATAAATTGCATTAAGGAAATATGATATATATTAAAATGTGCCTGAAGGGTATACAGGTTTCCAACAGCTATAACCAGCAAGGAGAGTTCCAATGTCCTAATCACCTAGACATATTTTTAAGGTTTTTAGAGCAATTACCCCTCTGCCATCCACATATTTGGCTTTGGTGCAAACCAGTTCTTCAGGAGAATTTTGGAACTGCTCCTCTCTGAAGGAGATTTCTAATTGGCTCAGGATGCTGCTTGCAAAAGAAAAGGCTGCATCCTCTAGTAAATCTATGGACAACCCACAAGGAACTGTGACAAACCAATATCACAGTATATCTAAACACAAATTAGGTCCATGTATCATGGATATTATCTGACCACTTCAGTCTGGTTTACAAGATTCAGATAAATTGACAATCGGAAGTGAAGCTGTGCATCTCATTCAGAGAAAGATCCTGCTCCCCTTGGGACCATTTGTATTGGCCTCTGGAGCACCATAACTCCAAGATCAATAGATAGGAAAGGGTCAGCTGGATGTCCATATGGAGGTCATTATGATTTAGCAGCAGGAAGTGGTGATGGTCTCATCTAAAGCATCTCCATCTGCCCAAAGGGAAGCACCAAATTTGGTTCTGAGAGATGTGAATAATCATCAGAAACAGCTGTTGTTTTATAGATAACAACAAAGCTTTAATTTCATAAGGAGTTATGTACTGCCATAAAAATGCTCAGGAAAAAAAACAGGAAACATTCATATTAAAAATGCTCCTTTGAGTACCTAAAAAATGAGAAAATACTCACGGGTTTAGAAACAAAGATAATTATAATCCAATAGTCCCAGGTTTTATTTCACCCCAATATGGTAGGTGTTAATTAAATAGGACAAAAAATATGTCCAAGAGCCAGTGAAGTGTTCCACTGGATGTTCTACCTCCCCCCCCCCCATTTATGACTATAAAAATCTTCTCAAATTGGGTTTCTTCTACACATTCCCAAACTTTTTTTTTAATAATATGTATATTATGTATTCATACTAAATGGAATCAGTTTTTTTTAATTATGTTTAATAAGTCTGAAAAACATTGAGCAACTTAGAAGGCAAGAAAACACTGGCTTTTCCCCCTTATTAAAATATGTTTTCTGCCTTTTAATATAACGTCATTTTTTTCTATTTTCCCCCAAAATAAAAAGTTTTGACAGGCATCCATAGCATCCATTTCTTTTATGGGCTTATATTGATAAATGGTGTGTGTGTGTGTGTGTGTGTGTGTGTGTGTGTGTGTGTGTGTGTGTGTGTGTAAGGGCACCAAGTCAGTCTCATGTCTTTCCAATTTCAAGGATTTTAATCTAGACAAAAAAACCTGCAAAAGCAACATTATCCAAATGTCTACATAAATTTTATATATGTGTGTGTGTGTGTGTGTGTGTGTGTGTGT